TCAGGGTGTTACGTTGGACTGACATTGGACCGACGTTGAACCGGCGTTGACCGATCTCCGCGCCGGCATTCGCACTCGCCTTACGCGAGCCGTCTGTGTCTCCGTGCGTACGTTCACTCTCGGCATTACTCTCACACGCCAGAGAGCCATGCATTGGACTTTGTCCAACAGACGGTTGACCCTGCTTCCACCTCTTCCTCGAACCACTACCAGCTGTTCTATCTTGTTTCATAAGTACGTTCAGATCAATTTTCAAGTTTCGAAACGAGTTGAAATAGAGCGAGTGTCCGAAAATACAACCCTTGGCATATGTCTCATTACATGTGACCCCTTCGGTCTATGATCCTTAACTGGTCAGTATTTTCTCATTTCTCACCAATAAACAATGCGATACAATATCACTGACATTTTGATTAATGAAAGAAACAATGCGGAACTAACCTGAATTCTACCCAAGCGGGTTTATTAGCCTGCCGATAAAAACACACTCCAATCATCACAATCCACACCAGCAAAGAGGCAAATGACCACACGACAAGTAGATGTTCTATACCGGACCAAGAGCACTTGCGCTGAGACTGAAACAGATGAAAATGAAGTGCGACAGTTCTACGTGATTGTTTGACCTGTTTTCAAGCCACACTTTTTTCAAATCGTATTTACTGTGCTTTCTGAACAGGTATAAGTATGTTGTCTAAAATATTACAGGTTCGATATATCTGAAACTTCTACATACAAAGCGACCAAAGTGTTCTCCGGAACGGTTTTTCGCGCATGACGTTTTTCTGGGGTAACTGCCAGAAAGCCGGCCGCGCGGCGAAAAGGCAGGGACGCAGACGGGTCAGCGGACGAGTTGCATCGTGTGCTCTGTGATGTGGTATATGCTACAACACATTCTGATCACTGGAGTACGCAGCCTTCTGCTCGCCCGACTGCGTCTCTGTCCGCCTTCTCACCGCGGCGGGCCTCCTGTCGGTACTCGTTCTGCTCTTGAAAAGAATTAGTGTTCAGCTGGAGGATATTTTCAGTCATCCTTAAGCTCAATCTCAGCTATCTGAAAATACCAAAAGACATGAAGCATGAACCATAGAGCATTCGGTGTCGATCATCCCCGGTTGAGATGCGCCACGCATTCTACATTCATTCAGAATCGTAGTGGTAATTTGAATGCGCCAACCGAAGTGAAAGCCAGACTTTTCATTCTTCCAGACAAGCCTGTTACCAATTAATTGACCATGAAGGGATGGAAGACTTGGTTGGCCCAGGATTCGATCCCTGGACCGCGCGCGTAGTAAGCAGCGCTACATCCCACTACACCATTTCCATTTCCATTAAAAGGCAAAAATACAAATGTTTGTAGCCGATGTTCAAGCGAAGAAGAATTATGAAGGGTTACTTCGTCGAACACATTTGACTGCTATTGCATACACTAGTAGAACTGTGGGGCTTACAGCAATGATGGTGGCATTAGAACATGCTACTTGACGTTCTGGCATAATGTCAGTGTCATTGATAGTCCTATCATCGAGTCGCCAATCCCGAGGATTTGTGTACTTGTCTTCTGCAATAAAAGCAGAGTCAAAGTGGAAAATGATGTTCACAGTGAATATTCAAAGGCTCACTGGCAATCGAGTTGATGTCGTTTTCATTGATGGGCGGTACAATTTGATCAATTTCAGCAGATAGATCTGCAGATTTGTCCGTGCCAAGGCTTAGTTGAGCTATCTGATATGGAGTAAAATAATTCAAGATTTCATTTTTCTATGTTCACAAAAATGAAGGTCAAGATCAGCCCTCACTCTGTTTTCCAGGATCGAAACCTCCGAAGCAAAAATTGGAGGTGGATTTTGCGGTTTAGGTGTAGTTGTAGTTAAGCGGACGCTGAAATGTCAAATCAAGAACAATCACTCCTCAAGCACAGAAGTTCGACCGTTATCTATAAGCTATGACCACAGCGAGCTGCGAGTAGAGGGATTTCGTCCAAAATGAGCCCCCCCCCCTGCTCTCCCTCCTACCTAGCAGCTATCACGAAGAGAAATAGAGATGATTATCGAGTTCTCTAAAATTTGTAAAAATTTCTTACTTCTCAAAAAACCTTTTTCCATAAGGTCTGAAGATAGCGATCCCATTTCGCTAAACAGAACCCACTCTCCCCTACCTCACAGAGTACGGCCTACTTGTCCGACTCAACCCAACGAATCGTTCATTCTGCTCCCTTGCAACTTATTTGGAACTTTGCCTTGATTTCCTCTGAAGTAGCTGCAATGGAGGTACGAAGTAATAGTAAACTTCCTAAGGAAACACTTCACATTATAAAATCCAATAAATCTTCCAGTAATTCTTACACCTCCACCGAGCATTACTCCCATTCTTCCGTTTTCTATAATAGAAGACTAACTTCAGCCAAATGCGATCGCCCCCCCCCCCCTCCCTGGATCCCCTTGATTGGGACCCGCTCAGTTTACAATTTCACAGGAACTATTCGAAAAAGCAATAAGAAACAGCCATTCGGGGAAACACTGTTACGATGGACAATGATGGAATTCTACAGCCTTTCAGGGCACTGCATGCCCTCCTCCTGGCAGAATAAAAAATGAGAGAAGGGAATCCCTTTCAAAACAAGATACTTTAATCATCGTGATATTTAGTTATGTTGGGAAAACTTTACCAAAGCGGAAAAAGTTCACACAGATTCGTATAAAAAGCAAATAGCGTTTGGAAAACTCACATTGAGCTTTTATTGGTGTAGAAAAGTAACGTCGCCGGTTTTTCACGCATTCGTGATGTCTTCTGAAACAAAAAGAAAAACTGTTCTCTCTTATATAATAAAAAGGTGGTTTAGGACGACAACGTGCATTCAAAAAAAATGATGTACGGAACACCAGCAATGGAGTGTGGTATTTTAAAGATGAATAATATATGCTCTATGTCTAGAAAATGCTTCAAAATTCCAAGGCAGCGTTCGCCGGCTGATGAGATGGTCCCTCCTTCAAGTGGTAAAAGTGGGGGTCAGCCCTTCGGCTGGCCAAGTGAGATTGGAGGGGAGAGGGGCGTTTTAGAGTGTAGTGCTGAAGAAAATAAAGAGTAGGTGAAATTTTAGGTAGTGGGGAAAAGAATTGCTGATTTGCTGTTCCATTAGGTACATATATGTATGTACATGTCTATTCCCTCTACTCTTAAAAGAATTAGGGAGTTTTGAGGATGAAGTTGGAAGTTTCATAGGTTGAGGTTCAATGATACTGTCAAGACTATCCAGCCATTGTCAGCAATATGTATAGCAGTTGTGCGAGGAAGAGCTAATGTACGATACCTGTGAAGTATGAGGAGTGGTACTTTTTGTAGTGATGGGCGCCGCTGTGTTCTGCTACTGAACTTCGTTAAAATCTTTGATCTCGTTGTGTTCGTAGCCTTCTTCCTAAAAAAAGCGACTTGAGGGGAGAGGCAATGGCCATCTCATTTCAGCCGTAAGCACCAGAGCATTTCACTTCCTGTCAAGCGTACCCAAATTCGCAACGGCATGACTTTGCTGAACAGTTCCTAATCCTAACACATTTTTGTGTTATAAAAATTAATGTGTGCTATACAGGCTAATGAAAAGGGAAGTGGAAAATCTTCAGAGAAATACTTACCTTGTTGTTGTGCTGAGCCTTGTTGCTGTCTCTGTTGGCGCTGACAATGGGGTAGAGGAGAAGGGTCCCAATGAAGCTGTTTTGGAGCTCGTAATTTTTTTGGTAGTTGTCGACACTGAGGATGTCGGTGGTGTAGACGATACTTCCTGCGATACTGTTGAGGTCACCGATTCACTGCAATGGTATGACTGGAATAGGCTCCCATAAATAATTCAAAAATTACCGCGTATTTTTTTCTTTAATATCACAGTTCGCCACCTTGCGTTCGAATTTATGGGCAGTCTGACAAAGGGTTGAAGAAGTACTGATTAAATTGACAGACGCAACGATGAACGTAAGAATACTCGAATAAACGAATGAATCAGCCGAATGGTTGTGATAATAATAAAATAAAAATGAACTATATTCAGGATAAGGTTTAAGGCACATTCATCGGTTTATATGTGAGGGTAATTGCACTCGATAGTGAACGTATTTAGGGTAATTGGTCCACTGGTAATGAACCAGGGCAAGAAAAACTGCTGAGAACCTTAAAGCCATATTGCGCACTCACAGATAAATGAACACTGCGAAAGTTGAACTTGGATGTTTCATTGGCTTTGCGCTGCTCATTATATAGGGTAAATACTGTAAACTACAGTTAAGAATTAGAACCATCTCCCGCAGGATCGAGCCCAATTGTCGCTTATGCAATTGACGCGCGTTATAACTTTAAGGTCTGGCAAAATTTTCCACCGAATTTCATTACGGATGAACTAATCATCACAATTACTTTCATTTTCGAGCGCAATAATGCAAGCTTATCAATAGCGTAATGTGCTTTTAAGGTGGAAACCCGGGAGTGGTATTAACCGCACGTTAAACCAAAGTCAGTAAGCAAACCCTACCTGGTTTAGCCATGCTCTATCACTTTGTGCTCTTTCACTTCGTATCGGAATTTCTTTCGTGAACTGACCCATAATCCCTTGCATAGGAAAAGTATGTTTTTACGCAAGTCATTCTTATATATTGTTCGTGGTCCGCTTTATCTTATAACAATCATTTCACAGTTGTTGACCTAACCAGCTCTATTTATTTTTTTATTTGTGGTCAAAAACACGCCACAAAAAAGAATTAAGCTAGTATGAAATCAAAAGAGATTTCTCGAACAAGAACTATAATAACTCATATTAGTAACATAACGCAGTCGACCTGAAGATGATTCACCAAAGTATAGTATTTGTAAACAGCCAGGAATACTTGAAATCAGACGGATGAGCTTGCAAGCCAAGTGGTTCACAATACGTTCGCGAATTAGTGAAACATAGGGGAGTTTGCAGCGCTCAGATTTGCTACCGAATGGTCGTTAACTGTTCGACGGCACGTATGAAGCATCCGCCGATTCCAGGCTAAAATGTGCATCCGTCCCACTACGGCCGATGTCATAGTTTGCGAATCGAGCGATTTGCTGGATCCGAGCGTAGCGCCAGCGAATCGAACTTTGCGCCAGCGAGTCGAACCATGTACCAGCGACTCAGTAGTGGCGGGACCTTACATTCAAAGAAAGCCCGCTACTCTCGAACAGTGTCACCAGTGGACTCTTTTTGAAAGTGGCGGGCTTCCTTTGAACGTTGGGTCGTACCAGCGAGCCCAACGACATACCAGCGACTCATAAGTGTCGCTGGTATGTCGTTGGGCTCGCTGGTAGATAGTTCGACTCGGTGGTGCAAAGTTTGATTCGCTGGTGCCACGCTCGGATCAAGCGTCGGCCTACAAGAGAAATGGACTTAATGGGTACTAGACGTGTCGTACTGAATTTCTAGAGTATCTTTCGTGTGCTACTTCTGATTCGTTAGTTCAGATTTGTACTTGTAAAAACTTCTACGAATGTTAAAACCTAATGTATCCACTTGGAACAAGCATTTCAGTTTGTTGAGATCAACGATGAGGAACAGCGATGAAAAAAGACGGTAGCTATTCGCCGGCCTAATTTTGTCCTTCACTCGATATTTATTTATTCATTTATTGAACCGATATCTTGTAAAACACTTCATTCTCTTCTCCAGAATCTGTTTCTGTGACTGATTCGTCGAATGAATAAAAATAAACTTGAAAATGAACCTTTCTGAATCGGTTGTCAGCGTTGTATCAGAAGAGTTTGCCTCGGAATCCGTAGGAGCAGGAAAGAGGCCAGTTGTCGTCGTGAATTCAATGTTGTCTACTTCTCCGGAGCTCTAGAACAACTTCTCATACCATGCTTCATGCAAAACAAAATTGATTCGGGATTGTGCGGCTGGTTGAGAACCTTTTAGTGAATAGTTCTCAAAGCAACAACCCCAGATCGAATTGGTGGGGTAAAATCGGTCAATATCAAATCGTCGATGTTGAATTGAATGGAAACGAAAAAGAAAACCGCCGATGAAGCCCCTGACAAGACTCCCTATATTCCCTTAAGATCAGAGGGGGGGGGGGTGGCTGAACGAGCTGTCCGATCTAGCACGAAATTGCGGAGCGCACTAAGTTGGCACCTATCCAACTCAATCACAGCGGCTTTCCGGGGTTTGGTTTTGCTATAGCGATACTTCTTATGCTCTCGACTAGGCTCACACGTGTTTTCATCAGATTAGAAGCAAAAGTATCTCCATCTAGGGTTGATGCTTAAAGCGAAGGCTGGAGGGTAGGGCAATGTTCATGACGTCACTGGCCGTCATTCGTCGCTCCCTTTTTTAAATTGCTTTCCTTAGCCAATCTGCGATAGGGCGCTATTCTTATACCTCTAATTCGAAAAGTTTGCACAGACTTGTGAAGGAAACGTTCAGAATACGAAGACAATTACACAAGGAGTATACGGGAAACTCACAATGGTAGGGTTTTGCGGCAAGAAGGCAGGTGGAGATCCCATGAGAGCGACTGTAGAAAAGTCGGTATCGTCTGATTCGTTTCGTCGAAAATCGGTGTTATTTGGACTTCTGAAAACAGAAAAAAATACCGAAGTCAATTTTGCTCTCACATCAAGCTCACTGGTATTGAAGGCACCTTCCAAGATAACTTCGTGGAAGGTAAAGTTTGTGGAAAGATGTGTAGGTAATACAAGTACATGCGCCACCACTACGGCAGAACACGGCTTGTGAACGGTATTTGACCCTCAAACTAGCGCCTCCGCTTTTCCTAGCAGCCCTTCCAATTGCACCTCTCATGCTTTCCTCTTATCAGAATCTCTCGACAAGACAAGCGCTCTCTCAGCCTGAAATTCAATGAATTCCCCCATTTTCTCCAACGAAGGGGCTTCGGTGAGAATTTTTTCTATGTACTCGTTGAAGTCACCTTTCTTTTGAAACCCTCCTATTCTTTGCCAGACCCTTTCGACCACGCTTTTCTGCAGCAAATGTGCTAATTTAAAAGAGGACTCAGTTGGACGTTGTTACGCTTGGAAATGCAAGAAGAATGGAATGTTGAACCACCGTTGAAAAATAGAAAAGGAAAAAATTAGTAGGAAACACCTCAAGCAGGAGTTCTTTCTCAAAGGCGGACGAGTCTCAGTAGGGGATGTACCGAGCGGCGAGTGGAGAGCGCATGGGGACCAGAGAGATGCAGACAACATTTGCAGGGGTTCTCAACTCATGACACTCGTTTTGGACTGCAGAATTGGCACTACTCCTGCGGCTGTGAAAACGTTTCCACAAAAGAAAACATACCCACTCAGTTAGTATTGTATAGTGCCTTTAAAAAGAAGATGTGGAAACCTGCCACGGTAATATTACTCCAGCAAAAATCTGGCTCACCTGTACGATATTCCCATTAAGAAATGACGAGGTGTGGGCAGAATCTTTGGCTCTTCCATTTTTTCATTTATTACTGCAGATAAATAGAATCCTGAAGTGATAACGTCAGAGAACTTTCAAATAATATCACTTGTAGCTCTTTTTCTCAAGCTAGAGCTAGCAAAACTCAGGGACATCTGATGGCCGGAGGGCGGTACGATTTGGACAGCGGTGAACATCACTGGTGAATTATATCCTTAGCGCGCTTCGGTACCAGAGTAATGACGGTCGAGGAACTCCTGGACCATGGCTCTGTCTGTGCGAGAGTAGTGCGGAGAGTGAACGTACGCGCGGAGAGCACAAACAGTTCGCGCATGGCGGGTATGAATGTCGGCGCGGGAGAGCGCAACCGATCAGGCCAGAATTCTCGACAAGCCGTTGAGGAATTCTCGACCGATAGTTACCCTGTGGGATGTGGTTGAATATCCACCTTCACTAATGATGTTCAACGTCATCGAGAGCGCACCACCTTTCAGCTTTCGTGAGCACTGCTTCTCAGGGAAAAATGGATGGCCACCGCAAAAAAGAAGAGCGCTTTTTTCAAAATATAAGATACTCACGTCTTGGTAATTGTCTATTATTTGTATTATTGAGGGGTTATGGGTGTACAGTAAATCATTCGCTAGCCACTTGACTTGATTTTTCGCTACGATTGATTGTGTTCCCTGACTGATAAAAGATGAGAGTTTTGTATTACCGAAATGATGTGACGGAGTTTAATGTTTTTTACCGTCATGAAGGGGTGTCCTCGATGGATATCCATTTTTGTCTTGCTTGCTTGCGATTGAGGATTTCCTATTTTGTGAATTAAGCGCATTGTTGGGGGCTAAAAGTCATGGTTATGGTTGTGGGTTATGGTATTTCAGATTAGTAATGAAGACAAAATTTTTGATTTACACTTTTCGGGATTACATTAACTACCGCATGACAATTGACTGATGATTATTCTATTACAAGATGAGGGTATCCGACAGGAGGCCCGTCGCGCGGCGAGAAGGCGAGATGCAGACAAGTTGTGCGGAACGAGTCGCAGCGGATGTGGAACACATTAGCAGATGGGTATATTCTTATTAACTTGACGTTTTGGCTTACTTTACGCACAGTACGAACTGCGAACCAGGCCGTGATCTGTGTGTGGTCTGGTTTTCGTCGGCGCAACGAGGCTTCCTGTTGCTCCGCACAGGACGACACCCAAAATAGATAATGAAAGAATGGCTTGTGAAATATGGCCCATAAACGGAGTTCGGGGGCACTGGTCACGCTCGGCATAGGCGTGATTCGGTCGAGAATCCTTGACAGGGGTGGTGTAGCCTGTTGGGTGGTCCATGGGGGGGTCGTATCTTTGGGGTCCAGTAACATTAAGTGGGTTCCTGGTGAGTAGGTAATAGGGTAGAGCGCAGCGGAAAAATGAAACTCGGAAAAAGACATGATATTCATTTTCTTTGGAGGTTCCCCAGTCCGCTCTCATTCCTCCCCTTCATGGGGAGGGGAGTATTTGAAGGACCAGGTAAAAAGAATGAAAGTGTGCTCCGCAAGAGAGTGCCACATGTTGCGCACGCGCTGCAAGGCACCTCTCGGCCTGATCATCGCTCTCTCCTTATACTCGCTGGATGACGCTGTTGTTAGGCGACCTGTACGGCAAAACGACAACGGTGAGGAAAGCGCTGGGCAAATGAAGTGTTTCTAGGCTTAAAGGATTGCAACAACACACTAGTGTTATCGGGTAGCAGTTTCGGCAGTTCGAGTCACCCATCATATAAACCTTTCAATCGATTTGCACTGTGAGTGGAGGAGGGATGCATGGCTTTATACCAATACCAATCGGATTGATGACCGATTGCTCTATCTTATTGTTCGTTCAGATTGTGTGTCTAGGAACACATTCGAGTCTCTCGCCAACGGTCCACTTGCAGTGCTGGAATGAGGGAGCGGATCTCAGGTGGGCCGGGATCGACCGGCTCGCTAGATCCTTTGACGCATTAATTCTTTCAACACAAGCCGTGAGAAGAAAACTAAGCAGACCTGCAGGAAGCGAGCGAACCTTCCGCTTTGCCAAGCTACTCCTTTTTCAGGATCTTAAAATATAGAGATTATTTGTCTTGACGTGGCAAAGATCGCGAGTGAATTGGGCCCGTCCTCGACATTTACTCGACGAAATTTGACAGCCCTATCTTTCTGCGAAGAAGGCTGATCCAGTGAGCCACAATTTGATGGCTCGTTGGAACGCGAAATCCAGCTCTATCTACCTTTAGCTCAAGGCGTGCCTTCAAAGGTTGTTGGCCTGGTAGGAATGAACCTTTCATGCGAGGGTGTAGATGTCGGGTCTTTTTTTTTTTGAATTTCGGGTCAAATCTGGACGGTGACATGGTGTCGCCGCAATGGCCGTTTGAAGCGGCCTCATTGCTGACACTCGGCGTTTTGATATACTCAAGAAGAATCAAGAATGTAGAATCGCACCCGTGTGTTTCAGGATTTCTCGTGCGTGCTGAAACACCTCGCTTGACGAGTCACCAAAGTATGCTATTGTCCTCGGAGTCGTTATTTCAATATGTACACAAAGTAGCAGCGATGTGAAGGGTGATAGATGAAGTATTTGAACGTACTTGCATATTTTTAGCAGATTTTTTTTGATTTGTTTTGCGGGATTCTTTTTTATTGATTTTAATTGCTCTGTTAGATGGGGTCGTGCCAGGATCTCGATTTCGGATTGGGGGGTCGGTCGGTTTACCTCTGCAAAACACGTTACCGACACGATTTTCACCGGGTCCATTGCTCAACAACGGTGCTGGCCTTGCCTCAGCTGATGCTATAGTATTACTCACCCGCAGCACTTGCGGTTTCTCGGTCCTTTCAAAAGACGTGTTCTCTCGCGTGTTCCCTCATGCCGAAGCACTATGTCTCTCTGTTGTATCACGGTCGAGTTTACAAGTAAACAGGCTTCCTAATTTCAATGTTATCTTTTTCCTTTTTTTACCGACTATCCTCTTTTCCCTCTTGCGTCATTTTCGAGCGAAATGAAACACCGATGCGAACGTGCTCAGTTCTTGACGTCTTCCATGGATTTTCTACTATTTTGTGCCCAACTATCGGAGAAACCTCTGAGTCTTTTACTTCTTTCCTTAGCTGCCACTGTGGCTCGGCATGGTAAAAAAGAATTATTCATCTTTGAATAGAAATGAAAGTTATGCATTACAAAGTGAAGTCAGATACTCACGAAAATCCGATCTTTACATACGCCTTCTGTGCTGCACATCTGTACGTTACATTCTATTCGGTACCTGGAAAAAGAAAATCATAAATCGCCATCAAGTTTCAAAATAAAAAAAAATTAAGCAGTAGACATTCTGGTCACGTAGCACCTTAAAGGCAAAGGTCGGGCTCAAACACGCTAGAGAAGTGATGGAGGTTGTATGTGGGTAGCTGCACACATTGCAGCAACTATCCACCTTGAAAAACGTCGTTAAAGCCCCCGGGGCCGTCGGTTTCAATCCGGGACCGCCTCGTCAACCCGGGACCGCCCACCTCCGGAAGTGGTGCATGGCCGGCATAACGCGTGAAACAACTAGGTTGATTGCCGTATCAACCGATAGAACGACTGATATCTCCAGAACACTTGTTTGTACGTGCCTCTTCCCCAAGACAGCCTCCTTCACTGCTAGTGGGAAAGAGGGTTTAGTTAACGGCCTTGTCTACGGTTTTTCTCAGTTTTTTTTCTCCACTGTCGTTCCCCTTCGCATCTCTTTACTCAATTTCAATCGCCATAAAAACCCTTATTGAGCCCGACTTTTGCCTTTAAAGGATTGAATAACGATCACACTGGCTGGGGGCGGATCTGTGGACTGTCGTCATTGGTGCGCAGGCACTAGGCCACCCCTCCTCCTTGTCCAGCTACGCAATGAGTGACAGCCCAGACACTCACTTCCCTTGAGCGATAGTACGCAGATCCGCCTGCTAGCCAGAATAAGTGCTCACGTAAGTACTTATAGAAGGTAATTCTTCAACGTAAGTGAATGCTATACTTGAGTAATTGTCTGTCAGTGAAATAATAATCAAGCGGTTCATCAATCTGTAAATCGATAGTTCTGCACCTACTTTTCTTCGTTCATGAATTTGAAGACGCGGGCACGGGCGAATACTTTCGGCATGAAACTATTGTAGACGATCTCGCCGATGAGCTCCGAATCCACAATACAGCTGAATATATTCCTTTCTTCGGAGTACGATTGAAATTTACCACAATTCCTCCACTCCTTTTTTCAGAAAGCCCAAAGAAACTCAAGAGTGTATGGCACATTCTTCGCTGCAGGGTCTGGTAGAGGACATTAGGGGACAAGTTACTCATTTTGCGAGTGGACTGACCCGGCTGAGAAACTAGTCAGCTCAACCATGCGGTAATAGGAGCATTTCAAGAGTAAAATATAGGGCTCTCGCCTCCGACCAAAATGAGATATTCCCGTGATTATCCCCAGTAAGAGCAAAGTGGGTCGACTGTTAGCACGAAATAAACTCATGAGGCAAAGCCATCAGCTGCCAATCGACATCTTTTGTCGGGTTTTTGATCTATAGTAAATTGATTTACCTAGATTTTCCGACTATGGGCCAGAGAAAAGGTAATCGTCTCAAAAACTCAATGATTTTGTCATATACAAACCCATTTTCATCCACCAGGTGTATGAGTTGTCCGGAACTCGAGATTGCATTGCAGCTGGTGAGAAACGTCTGATACTTCACGCCTTCTGGAAATGCCATATCTCGTTTGATGAAAGCCTTATGCCCACTCTTGTTGACATAAAACCTCACCTTTCACTGGGAAATCACAATTCCACTCATGGACAACTGCATCTCCGACATGAAAAACTGTACTGCTCTCCCATCGAGAAGCCAGTCGTATCGTATGCGAACAATATCTAGATTACAGGTTCACATTTATTTAGCGCAATCACGACTTCGCCCATTTTCTCCTTTTGGTCACATGCGGACGTGATTTCGTGAGCGCCGCCGCTCACCTCACATACCTTCTATTTCGGAAAACGAGAAGAGCGTCGAATGCAGACCACACACCACAAGTGACGTCGGCCAAAAAAGGCTATTTATTCTTTATTCGAATCCACGTGCTCTCTATTTCGGAGAACAATAGAGAGTACGTGGATTTTGTGCCGGATTTGGTGAGTGAACAAAAATTGAGGTTATGAACAACTTCAGCAGTTTTCCATGTGTACAGGGTTGTCCAAATTTATGAGGAACGCGTGTGCGCGCAGTTATATCTACTTTTTTCCGTATCGCTTCATTTTCATGTCGTTTTCTGTGCACTATGTGAAAGGGTACAATGTCTTCTCAATAATGAGACCAAATTTCATGAAGTTCTCAAAACTAGTAAAATAACTACTTCACTTTGAGTCAGTCCTCAAATTGAACTTACTGGGGGCTCTGGCACGTTACATCTAGCAGCAGTATAACCTATCAGAGAAGCTCTTATGAGCAACAGTTCAACTCTTCTTAACTTTGGAATCACCACAGATGGAAAATTCGGAGACTTGAAAGCTACAGTTACCACGAGGATAATTATCAGATGCAGAATCTAGGTCTCTCCTTGTCGACTTTCGTACACGGCCCAAAATGAAAAAATTGATATGCAACACGCCAGCAGACACTTTAAAGACTCTGTGCATTTGTAGTGGATAGAAAGCCACAAGAGTAGTCTACTTTAAAACTTCTTACAGGATCGGAACCCAAGAATAAAAGGCAAAAATCCCTCCAAAAAGCGATTTTTCGAGTTCCGTTGCTTTCGAAGAATTGTTACAATGGAATCATCCTCCTAACAAGCTCTAAATTTCTGTATTGTCACTACCCTGGAATGCAAGCGAATAATAATATGGCAATAAAAAGCTTGATTCCTTGTAGAAGGCAGATCTCAAAAATTCTATTCTGAATTGTACTCTGAGGTAACAGAGTTACAAATACTTCTCAGAAATGTGTATTGTTCCATCAAGCTACTATGGGCGTTTTTAACTGACACAATGTCTTGTCTCATAATATTGGACGCACCCTGTAGAGGTTTCTGGAATATTTATAATAGTAGAGTTCGATCAAACGGCATGTAGTGGGAACGAAAAGAACATCTTATTCACTTTAGCAGCAGTGGGAAGCCGAAAATGTTCACCCGATTGTTTTTCTATCGAAACACTTACTATAGTATCTGACCGACCTGAGTTCTCTCTACATCATTGCATCGCTTGTTCAATCAGTTACATAGCAATAAAAAAAAAGCAGAAATCAACCAAGATCAGAAATTCCATACGGCTCAGACAGAACGTTTCCTTCTAAAATGTGCATGTTTCCGCTTTCGTGATAAGGTCGTTTATACTTATAGTATAGGTATTAATCATGGGTTGTAGTGTCTCGTACTTCTGTCCTTACGAGGTGTCAGGTGGAACTTTTATTCAGTAGGCCTAACGTTTTCGGACGGAATCATTGTCTCTAGAGGCCTGAACATGTTTCAAGTTTTAGATCTAGCGCTCTACTCCACACACCTCGTCCACTCTAGCAGTTCCGGCATCGTGGTCAACAACCCTCGAGGAGACCCGAGCACAGAAAAGGATAGTCTCTACGCGTTTTGAGCGGGTTAGGACGCTTATCATACGAAGGCGTTAGTAATGTTAAAAGTGATGAATACTTGATTGTCCCCTTTTACCAAAATATTAGGAGACGCACGACGCCCGATCATTCTACAGCTCGCAGTGCGGTATAAACGGCAGAAGGTCATTTGTCATTGAGGGACACTCATCTCGGCTGTTCATTCTAGGATTTGGTGTATATCCAGAATGCTTCCAACGCTTTCCTCGCCGAAATTTCTATCTCATGAGCCAGCAGGTTGCATTTGATTCTACAGTTTCTATTGATTGTAGATGCCTGAGCCTTTGATTAATCATAGTCACTTCCTTAATATCGAAGCTACTCAACGAGACTTCCTCTTTTCTAGGTGTGTTGACAATATTACTCGAGCATAGTTTCGGTTTGAGGTATTGATACACGCGTAACCTTAAAAACCGCTTAAACTTGCTTTGAAACACATTTTCCACTCTAGCTGTGGGACCAACCACCGGACACCGCTCTCCCCAGTAAACCGACAGACTCCTTCTTCAGGGTTGGAACCGCTTATATCCAAATGAGTTCAAAGTCCCCCTTTGCAGTGAATGCAACCCATTCTCGAATTCAGAAGTAGCACATACCTCTCCTGATTTTTCACCGTCTGGTGTGATATCGCATACGTGTTGTCAATGCATTTCACGGAAAAGAGCCGGTCGTTGCTGGTAATCACTAGTGGATGGAATCCGATCTCTACGTGCCCAGAAAAGACGCGTGATCCATTCTGAAATGAAAAAGACGGTACCCAAGTACGTAGTTCACGGGAAGCTCGGATTGCTTATTTGCTCTAGTTTAGATGTGACACACAGGCGCGCTACCTTTGGTCTAACTTCAGAATAACTGTTACAAAGTAGGCCAATTCTCGCCGAAAGTCAGCTAAACTGCTCACAATGCTCAATCGATGGAAACCAAGTCATTCTGTTCCGGTAAGTATGGCACTTTGTAAGGGGTTCAAATTGTGTGCACTTTTTCGACAATTTAGTAAGAAGAACTTGTCAGGCCGAATCAAATTTCAAGAGGACTGGACGGAATAAGATCGGCCATATTCTGCCTCAGAGCTGCTCCCGCGCCGTCATTGTAGAGCTATACTGGTACCTATAGGATCAGGAGCACGAATTCAACTCCTCTGCTGAATTGTCGTAAACGCAAATTAAGGTAAGTTTATATTGGTTGAAAAGTAGGAAGTGGTGTATTGGTGAGCGGCGCTGGTTAAAACGCGCGCGACCGGGAGATCGAATCCTGGATTGCGGCGTCGAACAATCAGAACTTCTATCTTTCCGGGGTGGAATAACTCATATCAGGATTATCTGGAAGAATTAAACACTTGCTTTCGGCTGGCCCTTGCAAGCCATAGGTCATATCATAACCTCTGTATGGAAGTAGAATGTATGGCGTATCGCAAACGGGTTCGATCAACATCGAATGCTTTATCCTTTACCCTACCTTTACCCCCCCCCCCCTATAGTGCTTACACTGTGAAACTATCATAGTTCGATTTCACAGCAATTTGTTGGCACGATGTGGGATCAAATTCCAGTAAACTAACTTTACAGTGCCGCAAAAATCAAGATATCTGCTCTCTATTTCAAAAAACGAGGAGAGCGTTGGATACGGAACACACACCATAAGTTACGACAGATAAGTGGGAAAAGAAAAAAAAGTTGCTTTCTTCTTGGCCGTCGTAAGTTGTTGTGTGTGGTCTGCACTCGACGCCCTTTTCGTCTTCCAAAATAGGCGGTATCTGTGAATGTTCCCCATTTCGAGAAAAAAAACCTACATTTAAAAATATGACATCCATGCAGTGTCGCAAGTCTGCTTTGAAAGTGGCATTTCTTTGAATATTTGCGGAGTAATCTTGTACGCATGCTGGATTATGCATTTTTCTCATCATCTAGAACAGATTTTCGAGCAGCATACCATTAGCAAATACTGAGGTAAACTTGTGGCTATAAGCGCCAAAAACTAAAGAAAAAGTACAAAATTGTTTTAACTCACGGAAATCTTCCCTTGAAATGGAATATTGGTATCAAAATTAAAAAGTAACGATTTGTTTGAGCACAGCAACCGCGGAAACCCTGAAATTGACCTTCTAAAAATGATTAAGGTTTCAGCATTGTAACCTTTTGGTATAGTGTCTTCAGACTGGACTGACACGCTACATGGAACGATTACTGCCGGTTGAATCATTAACCCATTTGCGACCGCACCGGGTTGCGCAATAGCAGCCGCCTATGGCCGGCATGGTCCCTCGGATGCCCATCTTTTTTTCGGTTCTATCTATGCCTTCTGCTTTCCAATTCCAATACCATTCTAATGTACTGAAAATAACTCATGCACAGGTTTTAGCCGAATTCGGTGAGAAAAATTATTGCGCCATGTTAGCGGTAAGTGGTAAAATGGCGAGAAGTGGGCACTAGCGCGGGAATTAAACGTCAATCCGTGCTTAAGGCTATCAATAACCCTTATAGAACAAGTTTAAACCAAAACATTCAAAAGCAGAAGCAAATTTCTTTCAGTGAAATTTTGAAGACAGGAAATTTTCTTAAATGAGTTTGAGTGGATGGAGATTTCCTCTGCTCAGGGGTGCCGTAGATGAATGAGGGTATGAAGATCCTTTTCAGGACAGAACACTTTCCACATTCCATTTGAGAACCGGCAGCTGCCGGTGGATGCCATTGTTCCGAGTGGATATTTTCGCAGCTACCACCGATGATTGCCATTATCATGAATGGGTTAAATGTGACCTCCAATGAAGGACATTCTTCGAATGTTTCGTGAAGCTATTGAATGTCACTATGCATGGCGCTTGACACCCAAGTGAATGCCTCTGAGCAGCGACTGGATCAAAATAGATATTTGTATACATTCGCAACGTGGGGAGGGGGGAGGGGAAGAAAAGTTCGAAGGAGGGCGGGTTGTGACTAGTTCAGGGATTTGGTCAAAACCACGGTCCAGAGTCTAAAATTGCATGCTCCAGGGTAAGGTTCGCATGTGCCAGCCGGGTTAGCCGACATTGTGATCAGCTCAGAAATGTAATATTGCGCTTCTTTAGTTTCCCCCGAAGATCAAAAACTTTAACATCACCGAGAGCTATGTGCCACAGTATGCTCTTTATGTGGTACACCTTCCTACTAGGCTTGGTGGATGCTACTGGTGTAGTTGCAACGCTCTACACAGATGAGTGTCTGCTTCTTGCTCGTCCCGTACACTCTCTCCAATTCGTTCCCCCGTCTTGGCTCCCAGGGTCCCTTGGACTGCTCTTCA